AACGGGACGAAGGACTATATACTACGTAGTATTGATGCACATGAATGCACTGCCATCTACGCTAGAATCTACCAATGCGGCTTGGTGAAATCTCGTGCTAACAGTACCGAAGTGAAATCGTTTTGAAGCTTTGCCTCTTTGAGAGCTTTACCAAACTCAAACTCAACAAAACATCAGCTGGGATTCGAATAATTTATCTTATCACTTGTATTGAAATTTAACTAACTGTTCATTTAAATAATTGACAATTACTTCCTCTGTTCAACTATGTCCATAAGAAAGACACACTTTTCTCCACATTAATTAGAGCTCTTTCGAAAACCTGTTGACAGTGAGTTAGAATTTGACTTTCAAAACATGTCGCACAAAACGAAACTCAAGGCCAAGTAAATAGCACTTTCGAAACCAACCATTCGAGTGTTTGACTCAATGTCGCATGTAAGTACCGTAGGTGTCGCGAGGACTTCTACGTGAAAACATGACCCACGAGCAAAGCAATGCAGCACTCTTGGACACCTTGTACGAGGAGTCAGGTGCTTACGCAGGAACTTTCAAGAAATCGTTTGCATCCGAGGACGACATCATCCTCCAAAAAGGGAATCAACAGCGTAAAGCCATGGGAAGCACCGTCCGGCCAAGTCATGAACACCTGGGCCGATCTTGCAAAGGATCTTCGCGACAACCGCCGCTTTCGCCTTACAAAAGACGGCGCTGCATGCAAGAGTCGATTCGAGAACCTCATCAAGGCCCATTGTGGAGACTCCCTGGCTGCGATGCGGCGCAGCGGCACTGACGAGGAATTTGGTGAATGTGACCAATTACTCGAAGACATCTCGTCGCAAGTGGAAGACCACAGAGTCTTGAAAGAAGTAGGCCGTGCGGTAGACGCGAAAAAGAAAAACGGAATCGAGAAGTCGGGGGTGATTATGCGGCAGCTCGCGATGGAGACCCTTGACGATGACGATGTGGGAAGTGTACCTCGAAGATCAACGCCAAAGAAACGTGATCGTGTCGATCTATTTTTCGAGAAGATCACGAAATCTGTCGCGTAAATGTCACGTAGCGACCCGGCGATGTCTGTATTGACAACATTCATGCAAGAGTCACGGAAACAAGACAAAGAACGTGAGGAGAAGAGGATGCGTCGACAGGAAGAGCGAGAAGAACGTCAATACTTGCGTGATTTAGCTAGAGATAAGCAATCCCAGGATTTCCTACTTGCACTTGTAGGAATGGCGCGACAAAATAACGGATAATAGGGAACTTTGATTTAGAATAGCGGGGCGTTTTTATATAAAGAATGGATTTTCCATCCATCCCCAAACGCTACTCGTCCCACTCGTCCTTACTCATCGGTGGACTATGCATAAAGTGCACCATAGTATATTTTTGCAAATTATTCTCCAAAATATTCATCAAGTGTTGGTGGTTGAAGATCAAAATACATCGAAATTTGATTTCCCATGGGCTGCATGCAGCAGTGACAGTTGGTGAACAGAACGGCCACGTAAAACAACTTGCCTGCGGGTGTTCGTCGTACTTGCATCTTCTTGTCGTCAAATACGAATGGCCACAGGATTTTGAGGCGGCCAAAGCTCCATTCCACGGCTTCACAAACTTTGCTCATTCGGGCGTTGAATCGGCGTTCATTGCTGTCGGCGTCCGGGGACGCAAAGGGGCAGATCATGCAATGGTTGCAGCCGTACGCCGGATCGCCATACACGTATCGGCCTTCGAAGGTTCCGTCCACATAGTCGCGTAAGACATCCATAATCTTACTGTAGCTCAAAACTGTGCTGTCATGTCGGCGACCTTCGACGGGGCTATGAACGCTTTGAAGAATACCATCAGGTGTCGTAAGTGCTTGCCAGTTGAGGCAATGTCGACGCGGATGTCCTTTGTACACCGAACGCTGAAGATTTTCGTAGCGATCACTGTATTCAGACCTTGGAGTTGGGCGTGCAATATACTGCTTAGTACCTATGAATACAAATATATTACGCTCTACACATTAACAATAATGTAAAAGTCACTACCATCAATAAATGCCCAAACGTTCGCCAAGGGTGCATCGTTCTCGTTTACGGCACTGCAGTACGACCCAATCCTGGACGCGATGAGCCTTCGGTTGAAGTAGAGTGTACTCTTGTGCATCCCATAGAGTAAACGAGCAACGTGCTTGACGATGCGACTGATTGCCGCAGGGGAGCGCCCAAACTCGTTGGCAATTGTGAGGAGCTTCGATGATTCGGAGAGGCGGCGACAGATGATCGAGACCGATTCGAGGCGCGTCACGTTGTCGCCGGCCTTTGTGATGATGCGTCCGGGGAGCCCAAGCCGTTCTCCAAGCAACTCCAGTTGGAGCATGGAAAATCGATATCGTTCGATTGCCGTGGCGCTATCAAGTCGTGGGTTGAAGGCGTTGTTGTAGTCTGGTACTCCGGCTGGTGCGCGTAAGCGAAGGATGCTGTATTGTACGCAAATGCGAAGCAATCGGCGAAGAACCCCGATACGTCCCCGAGCACATCGTACCAGGATCGCTGCAAGCTGTGCACCTTGTTGGAGTGTTAAGGCGGGGATAAGCAGTGCCATCGGTTGTTTGCTTCGAAATTTGCCCGATCATTCGACATTTTTGCATGCGCTGGCCAGTGATCTTTGTACTACTGTCGAAACTCGAAACTCAAATCGCCGTTGAGATATCGGCCGACTTGTGTCAACTGGGGTTGCGTTTCAAATACACTATTTTTGCATTGGCCAATCAAATCACTGGAAAACACATGGCGAAACTCAAACTCTAGTTCAACAGGTTTTCGAAAGAGCAGTAGAAATGGATGCCATTTGGCTAATACAAGAATGTATTAATCTCATTCGTCAAAATTTCCTAGCCTACGAAAGCAGCGACACAAGGGCAAGTAACATTCGACATGAGAAGTCCAGCGCGCCTCAAGGCTGCTTTCTTGAGGTGCGGCAACGCAAACTTGTTGTCGCCATCGTGTTCAATGACCAACCGCATCACAAGCTGATAGGTCAGGAACACGTCGGCCAGCTTCTCGTAGTTCAGTTCGCTCAATGCATCCATGGTGTGACGGACCACGTCGTTCACCGTCCGACTTATCTTCTTGTACTGTAGCGACTGGATCGAGGCAAAAAAGCTAAGATCCAGTACATTAAAATCCGGACTGTTAGGTGGCTGCCGACGCATCGCAAACGTCCAGTCGTTGGTATACACACTCGCCAGGTCTGCATCCGTCACGCTCGCATGTGGCGTCGCGATGTCATGCTGGAGCAAGACATGCTTGTTCGCACTTGGGAATCCCGCCTTGATCGCGGGGACAACTTTGTTCAACACAAAGTCACGGTACACAGTTCCATTGACATTGACCAACGACGTGACTAACGTCCCAGCAGGCCGGTTCCGTGAGTTTCTTGCCGCCGGAACCAAACGCACGACAGGTCACATCCCAAGCTTTCCGTCGAAGTCGGCACCGCGGGCTTTATCGAAGCGAGGATGGCCAACGGCGGCAAGGAACATAACCTTCAGAATGAACCGCTTGCTTTTCCACGAACGTTAGGGTGGCGTCTCGCCAGGGAGGAGGTAGCACTTCCGACGATCTATGTCTGCGTTGAACATTTCTCATCCAAGTGCACCACATCCCATAGACTGTCGAATGCAACACTTTCGGGGTTTCGAAAGCGTTGAATTCTAAATGCAAAACGCAAGGTGTTCTGCCTTGTTCGCCTCCGTAAGCAGCGGCTTGATACGCGACCATCGGCGTTGAAGAGTGCCCTTCTTCAAATGACGCCTCAAGGATCCAAGGGTTAGTCCAGTGGCTGCGGCCATATCGCAGTAGGTCGAGCGCTTTTCGACTGGGATTGCTCCGACGAGATGCTTAATGAGGGCTGAGGAGTACGTATGCTTGAGTCCAAGATTGCCTGGCTTGTTGGATTTCATTGCGCCGCCGGCGGAAAACAAGCGCCAAGTGCTGGCGACAGTGCGAGGGTCGAGGCTGAGATGCTCTGCAATGTGCTTGAAAGCTCCATGGGCGAGCTTGTCTTCCTTGGTGAGCTTGTCCTTCTTAAGGAAGGGCTGTAAGCGTTGGATGACCGTCACTTTGTCGCTGCTAGACAGCTCTCGGCACGTGCGGTGTGTAACTTCATTCATGGCGCCAAATTCAAAAGTGATTTGGTTTGGTTATTCGTGTAATTTTATTTGGATGGTTGATAATCGATGTCAATTTTTTGCACGAACCATTAGTTTTGGAGTCTGGGAGCCAATACATGGTTCCTGTAGTTTTTTATGCTCTTTAAAATATGATAACTTTTGTCGAAATTGGTTTAGAAATTTAATTTTGGGGTCGATGAGATGTCATAACGACATAGTATAGTGGAACAGACTAAGTAGACAATTCAATTTTTAATTCACACAGTATAGTGGAACAGAGTAGTAAGTAGACAATTAAATATTTATATGGAGCAAGCAATACAATAAATTATTGTATAGAGCATAGCCAATACAATTATCGCCAATAATTGTATTGGCCATGCGCTGCAATACAATGGTTAATTGTTTTACCCCGGAAAATTGCTAAAATAATATTTTTCCCATGCCCTGCTTTCCAGATAATTTGGCTTGACCGATGAGACCAACGCTTGCCAAGCCTTAGTGTTGGGGAACACTGACACCGGCCTTTTCAAGCCCCGTCTGTGTCAACGTCCACTTCATGTAGCCTCTACTTTTGGGGGTTGTGATATGTTCGCCATACTCTCCGACCATTGCACCAATAGCAAGAGGCCCAACCTTTCCGGAAAATGCAGCACTGAACTGAAAGTTCAGTCGGTTCATTTTTCTTTCAAGAGTCGACTTCGACATGTCGCTTCTGTCTTGAAATTACCAATAAAGGTGTTGAGGGGGACTGTCGACGTCAGCGGGACACATACAGTGCTTAAGTTGGTCTTACTGTAGTGCATTCCCCGACGCCTTTCGGGTGACCATCCTGCGACATGGTTACTTGGCCTGCGTGCACCGCCTTCATGTTGTCATCGTACCAAAAACAGTCCACAAACGAATACCCAGGGTCGTTCATGTAAAAGATCGACGTGGGGGCAGCCACAAAGTCGGCATACGTTGGTTTCTTGGCCCGGTTGATTTGATTCACGTTCAACGAGAAGGCCTCGCATTGCGGCGTCCAATTAGGGTCGTCGTTTGAATTGGCAGAGAACTTCGCCGTGGCCACTTCCCAACCCTCCCAACGCCGTTCGATGTCGTGCGCGGCGGCATACTTGACGAAAAACGTTTCGAGGGTAATGGACATCGACCCCTTGACAGCGGGACTCACCGAGGGATCGCCAGGATTTCCAACTTACGCGATGAGTTGCCTCTTGAGTTGCTGCACGTCGATGCCGAACATCAGATTGCCCAAACGTTCCGCCACAAGATCGTTCGTCAGCTTTAGCGTATACGAATTAACAGTAAACACGCCGTCCAACACGGGCGCAATGCGGAGGATACGATCACTGATTTCCAGCATACCAGCAGACCTCTTCTCGATGATAAACCATGCTTTTTGGAGTTTCTCCAAGGTCAACTCGGCCAATTCACTCCATCCCGCTTTATCTTCAGCCTTCAAAAACCTCGCGTTCTCAGGCAACACAACCCGCATGAAGGGGGCCATGCGTTCGGATTCGTTCACGAACAATTGGCTTCAAATCGGACCGTACGTCGTTCTCCATCACGGCAGCCATGAACACCAGCTCGTCATCGTAAGGGCATTCCATGTACTTCACGGCGGCACTGTATTTGGAAAATTCCTTGTACCGGTCCTTCAATGGCGACACTGTAGCCCACAGGTGACCTCTCGTGATGCCACTGAGCTGGATCTCATCCTTCGAAACACACACCTCGTAGAGGAGCAAGGTCGACGTGGAATCCAATCGACGCAACGAAGGACGCGCCCACCACAATAGGATCACAAGCTGAATGTACGACTTGCCAATGCCAGTATTGCCAACCACAGCAATGCGGGGTTTCTTGCTTGCGGTCATTGCTTTGACCATCGCGACAGTAAAGATCGGATGAAAACAATGTGGTTCAAAATCAGAGTGGATCGTGGCAAACAGTGCGGCAACCAGACCACCTGGACCTTCGTAATCGGATCCGTGAACGTGGTGATACAGCCTGGAACGGGTTCAGCGATTGGAAGGTCCTCGATTCTGTCGACTGGTTTGATGGGAGCAGTGCAAAGCGCATGAAAGAAGTTGGAGTCTATCATGTTTGGCTAGAAATGCAGAAAATCAAGGGATGCTTACCAGACAACTTTGGTTTCACAGTTGGGACGAACTCTCGCCAAGCGTTGTTGTTGAACACTGATACAGGGCTTTCCATAGCTCCGTGTGTTTCGACGTCCCCGTCACGTTGGCTTTTGTTTGATGTGGACGGAGAAACCAACAAGATGGGATTTGCCAAATGTTCGCCATAGCCTTCAACAATTGCATCGGCAGCAAGAGGAGCATCATTGCGGGCAAACGCGGCCTGGTCGGCGTAGACAGAAAGGTCAGTTCGAGTGATTCTCAGGGTGATATTGGAATGGGAGCACGGAAATGCTCTTGCAAAACCTCGCCGCGACATATGATTGGCATAGCGATCCGTAGAATACGTAAAAAACCAATTTAAGATAACTTTTTTGGAGGCGTCGGAGTAGAATGGACATAACTTTTGAGTCCGTTACGATATTTGAGTTTTCAATAGTGATTCCAATAGACAAGACGCGCCTCTTTCAGTTCATATTCGAATCATCAGTTTAGGCGATGAACTTCACAGGTAAATTTGTTACTTTCTAAGCATTTGTACTCACATTTTGATAACCAATTTAGGATAACTTTTTTTATCTTAAAGTATGTATGTGTTTGAGCATTGAAATTATGTGTTTAGGGTAAGCGGTTACAACAGGTTGCATATAATTTATACAAGGGTACTGTTTTATAGAGTTAAATTTCTGTTGTGGATGGATGTCCACCGAGTTTAACACTTGACAAAACCTCAGATCCAACCCAATGTGGCCAGTGTCGACTAGGGAACTTCAACCCAATCTTGAATGACTATTACCAATGGCTTCTACGCCGTTTTTGCAATTCATTCACGTGACGGAATGGCCAGCATTATATGATAGAGGTTTTGACTCGAACAAATAACGAGGTGTGATTGGGCAATACAAAGTTATCCTAAATTGGTTAAGTTATCTTAAATTGGTTTTTTACGTTATAGACAATTTGCGTGCAACTTGAAGTAAGAATTTATTTACGCTCGTGGTCAATTCTCGTGAGTTTATTTCTTAATTTCGGACGTCGATGGCAAGCAACAGACGTGTCTGGGTTGCCCTGGTTGATGGCAAAGGGTTCAAGCTGACGTCTCCAGGCAAAGTGAACGTGTCCCCAGACAGCGACGTCGACGATATCAAACAAGCTGTGGAGGCCATGTACCACGACAGCGTCTTGGCGAGAATCACTCCAACTGATATTTCTGTCTACGTCGACCAGGCCGCGTTTGCCCGCAATGATGCTCCTCTTGCTGTCGATGCAATGGTTGAAGGTTATGGCGAACACTTGGCAAATCCCATCTTGGTGGTTGCTCCGTTCACATCAAACAAAAGCCAACGTGACGGGGACGTCGAAACACACAGAGCTGTGGAAGGTCCTGTATCAGTGTTCAGCAACAAGCCTTGGCAAGCGTTCGCGACATCTGTGAAGCCGATGTTGTCTGGTAAGACTCCCTTGATCTCCTGCACTTCTAACCAAACACATTAGACTCCAACTTCTTTTACGCGCTGATGACCGATCCAATCAAACCAGTCGACAGAATCGAGGACCTTCCAATCACCGAGCCAGTTCCAGGCTATATGACCACGTTCACGAACCCACGAAACCGAAAACGAAGGTCCAGGTGGTGTGCTTGCCGCACCGTTTGCCCGAATCATCAGTGATACACCACTCACAGTCGAGATGATCGAGGCAATGATCGCGTGTACGGAGCATCGTATTATTGTGGTTGGCAATGCTGGCATTGGCAACAACTCGCATTTTCAACTTGTGATCCTCTTGTGGTGGGCACCTCCAGAGCTAGTCCAGTGGCTGAAACGTCGACGATGGGGCTGCTTTGGAAAAGTTTTTGGATGGCATGGCATAAGCAATCGCTCCCGTCGAGCGGGACTCTTGGACGGAGTACTCCAAGCGCGAACAACTTCATTACGGCGTTGAGACGTTGCCTCTACCTTCGTTGCGTCGATTGGATTCCACGTCGACCTTGCTCCTCTACGAGCCTTATGCATCTCAGAATGAGATCCAGCTCAGTGGCATCACGAGAGGTCACGTGTGGGCTACAGTGTCGCCGCTGCTGAAGCGATTCAAGCACTTTTCCAAAATCGATGCCGCCGTCAAATACGTGAAGTGCGCGGACGAAGCGGAACAGGTGTTCATGGCTGCCGTGCTCGAAAAAGGCATCGTGCGTTCCGACTTGAAGCCACTGTACAAGCCGGAAGCTGTCCTCGAACGAGTTCGAACGCGCGGCCCCTTCCTGCCCGTCTTCTTGCCAACGTCCAAGAACATTTTGACCATTGAAACAAAGAGTGTCTGCCTTCGAATTGGCTGT